TCTACATTCATCCTCCCCTTACATCAAGTATCCCCCAGCTCTATCCCCCTATCTCTTCAATCAACCAGCTTAAACCTCATCACATCCACCTTCACCTTCACCCTCACGCCAATACCATCACCAACTTTGGCACAAGACAAAAGCAAATCTCAATCTCGCAAAATCACCAAACATTCCATAAACCCCCTCCAGCTATGAGTATAAACCCCGATGATGAGAATCAGACCTAGGCAGGTAGGCAGGCAGCTATAAGTGGCACAAAAAAAGCTAGCCACATACAATTCGCAAAATCGAAAACCACCTTTCCATCCATCCATCCATCAAACCTCCCCATATATCTTTCCAAAACCCCCCCCCTCCCATTCGACAAACTTCTCAAAAAGATAAATAACCATACAAATTTCCCATCCCTCCATCCCCCCATCCTATTTTACACAACCAGGTACAAATTGGTCACCAAATCAACAACGCATTGTAAGATTACAGGATTGCCTCCGTCTCGACATTGCAGTCGAGACGGCAATGTGGCAACTTTGTCATAATCTTCGTGAGTACCGTTATCCCCTGAAATTAAGCCTCTTCTGGTTCCTTTCACCCGAAGTCCATTGCTACCATCCGTCTGCTCATAACGTGTAGAGTGCCGAGGAGAAATGGTGGACTGTTCGGGAACGATGACCCGAGATGAAGGCCGGAAAAGAGATGTCGAGGTCGCCATATGCTTCTCAAAAATGAACAAAAAGCAAAACGCAGCAAGGGGTGATACGGATGCCCAGGCCAAGAAAAAGCGACGCAAGCCAGGGCAGAAACCCATCATTAGTTCCATCTCGTCTATAACAACAGGCCGTCGGCAAAAGAAACCACCCCGCAAAGACAGATGACTTGAGGAGGCGGGGAACTGGTTCACGAATTGCCAAAGAAGACATCGTCATTCGTAAACAGATTCACCGCATTTCCGTACTCCTCGAGGTCGTCGAACTTGCCCAACGCGCTATGATCCAGCTGAACAAGGCCGTCCTCATCGGTGGTGAATTGGAGCAGTGACATGTCGCTGTCATCCATGGAGCCTAGCATCCCGGCACCAGCGGCATTGCTGATGAGGGGCCCACAACCGGCAACCGAGGCCGCCGCGTGTGCTGCCATCGTGGTGCCGAGGCCAATGCTCACTTCCGACAGTCCGCTGCTGTTGGGGTCGCTGGGATCACTGAGATCGAAGTAGCGAGAGTGGCCAGTGGGTGGTGGCGACGAGCTGGCCGAGAGCTCTGGAGGTGTGCCTGGGACGTGGGTGTAGTGGCTGGCGACGCTCTTGGCAGGCGAAGAAGGGTTGTTGTGGCTGTTGTTGTTCTCCGAAGTCGGCAAGTTGTACTCAGCAAGCAGGTCACTGGCAGCCCGAGATGGCTCTGCGTGAGAAGCATGCGATGCGTGACTGGAGTTGCTGATGGCAGAAGGCGAAACGGCGAGGTGTTCAGGGGATGTGATGTCCACAAGTTCAGGGCCGTTACTGGGCCCTGGCATGGGGGCTGAGGACACTGCGAGGTTTGTGGGGTTCATGGTAGTTGTGGTTGGGAGCTGGCCCATGGCGACGTCCATGAGGTCAGGGAATGGGTCATGATCATCGTCAATCAAGCCGTCGAAGCCGTTGTTATTGTTGCATGGCGAGTTGACGGCCGAGCTGTCGGAGTAGCCGGAGAAGCTGCTGACGGAACTGGAGGACGTATGCTTGTTCTTGCGACGGGTGCGGTCGCTCTTCTCGCGTCGCTCATCCAGGTCGGGCCGGTTCTTGCGAGGCCGGCCACGCTTGACTACTTTGCGCACAATGCCGTCGAAGGCGCCAATGCACATACCGCGTTGTCTGTGGCGTGTCAGGGCATCATGGCGCGCAAAGCTGTTGCCGCACTCGCAAGGGTAGGGCTTGATGCCCGTGTGAATCTTGGCGTGGCGCTTGAGGTCGTGCTGTCGGACGAAGCACTTGTGGCAAGACGGGCACTGGTATTGCCGATCGTTGAGATGCGTCTGCACATGGCTCTTGATGTTCTCCTTGCGACCGAACCGCTTCTTGCAGTCGTCAAAGGTACATATCCACTTGCCGTCCGACGGGTCGGGCCCCTCGATATACGCTGCGATATCGTCCAGAGTCACGCCCGTATCAGTCTTGGTCTCGTCGATGTTGATGCTCGCAATGCTGGCGGCGCTGGCAATTGAAGCGAGGGACTCGGTGCGGCGATGGGGCGATCCGCGTCGTGATGGGGCGGCAGAGGAGGCATGGCCGTGGTGTGGGATCATGGTGTTCTGAGAGTCGAAGTCGCTGGGCGGATGGAAGTCTGGCTTGTGATCAAAGATACCGTGCGGGAAGGCGGCCATCTGTGGTGTCATGGGAGCAGGGTCCGAAGTGAGCTCTCCGGAGAAGCCGGTAGGGAGGCCGTCATAGTTGTTCTCGATCTTGACAAACTCAGCGTTGACGTTGGCCATGCTCATGAAGCCGGGGGTGCCGAGGCCCTGCTCTGGGAAGCCCATCGGCATGGTGTTGGCGCGGGGAGGTGTCTGGGCCATGGCCTCGGCTTGCTGGCGCAGGTCCTGGAAGATGCCCGAGTTGCGGTTGGATCGGTTTCCTCGCATCGGCTTGATCGTCTCTTCCATCGACTCATCGTAGTCATCCGAGAATCTGTTTGGTCGTTGAGACTGAGGTTCGTGCTTGACCATTCGGTCGTGAGGGGTCTCCATAGGGGTAGGGGGAAAACAGCCTGCGTCTTCATCGTTAGAGGTCTCATCCCGCTTTCTCCTCGAGCTCCGTGAGCTTACCGTTGGCATTCTGGGCTGGAGGCGTAAGGGGTCTCTGTCCATTGGTGTTCACCATGGCTTCAAACTTGGCGACCTTGTCCATGATTCCGTTACTTATCCGCCTCGATGTTCGGCGCGTGTGGGTGCTCGCTGTCTCGCCTTCCGAGATCCAGCCCTGCCCGGAGCCGGCTGGGCTGGGTTCTGGGAATGTCATGAAAGTGGGCGTCGACAGGGCACTGTCGGGACCGAACATCTCAAACTCGGGGTTGGGGTTCATGGCGTTGTTCGCAAAGTTGGCCTGGTTCTTCTTCATCATGGCAGTCATGGCCATGTAGGCGTCCATAGGGAGGGCGCTCATGTCGGCCATCTGGCCCTGGGCTGACATGGCGTCCACGAAGTGCTGGTTGTGAGGTGTCCCGCCAGGGGTGAGCAGGAAGTTGTCGTGGTGTATTTGTTGTTGCTGTTGCTGCTGCTGTTGATGCTGTTGCTGTTGCTCAAAGCTGGGATGCCCGTGGCCCGGGCGGGCTATGCGTTGCTGCTGCGCTTCTCGCAGTACATGCTGTGGTGTCGTTGTTGATCCTGGGTTAGTGGTCGTAGTACTTACCGTTGTGTAGTCCTGCCGGATGGTGGTCGTTGGTGTTGTTGGTGAAAACTGGTTGCGGCGCGTGTCCAGGCTGAGGCCTCGTCGATGGGACATGTGCGCTCGTTGTTGAAAGTTGGGCAGGGGGGCAATCTTCACGGCTTCGAAGGCCGACGGCGTCGAGTTTTGCCGGCGGTGCTGCCGTTGACGCGCATGAAGACTGCTCGCTGACGGTGGTGGATTTGACAGCATTGTGAATGTGAGCGGAGTTCGGAAAGGGTGTGTCGTTGTCGTCGATATCGATATTGCCGCACTCGATAGAAGCGAGTGCTGGTCGATTGGTTCCGAGACTGCAGATGGCCGTCGGTCAGCTTTCCATCCCAACTCTTCTTTTTTTGTCCCTCTTGTCGAACCCGACGCTCAATGAGATGGAATAGGGGGCGCACCTCACGCAGCGCAAGCCAGGCGGCCGGGCGGTTAGTTGCTCGTGGTTGTGCTCAGTCGGCGTCGACTTCGCGAGCGGCGTGGATGATGGGTTTGTGCCTTATTCAGGCCGATGACAGTGGTGAGATGCCTCGCTGCGACCTACCAAGCAGAGAACTGTTGGTATCGCCGCGGCAGCGAGAAGGGTTGGGTGGTACGGTCAATGGCTCAGAATCGCAGAATCAGGAATTCCAGGCTAGGCAGTAACGTAGGTGTGGTTTTGCAATCGCAAGAGTGGAGGAGGGATGGGCTGCTGGGTGGTGGCAGCAGTAGGAGATGCAGAAGTATGGGGACAGGAATTCTGTGGTTGCTCTGCTGCTGGGGACATCCATCCGACGAAAGCGCCATGATGGTTGCGCCAGACTTTTGTTTTCTTGCCCTGGAGACGCCGTTGCCAGCAGCAACGCGCCGGGGCCGCGGAGTAGCGAAACGGGAAAAGTGGCGCCGCCTTTCCTCTTCCGTCCGTGCACCACCCCTGCACCTTCGAATTGGGGCGTGGACGTCACCCAGCAGCGGAGCCGCTGATGTTTCGGCCCACCTAATTCAGCCTGAGCGCGGCAATCGCCTTGTGTGGTGCAGAACCGAACCCACTCGCTGCGCTTCTTCGTCTCTGCGACACCCGCCCCAGAGCTCCATGCCCTCGGGTGCAGGCAATGGTGGATTGCTTCCCGTCTGCCGTTGTTTTGGGTCCTTCGTTTGTTCCCAAGTCTTAGGATGGCGTCGCTATCAATTATCAACCGCTCTCCCCTCGATTTAGTTCGCCGTGGTTTTGTTCGTCCTCGACTGATTCGGCGGCATCGCCCCGCAGGCGACGCTGTTGACGCCTCCGCCAGCCAATCTTGTTGATGCTCGGTCATTCGTCATCATGGCAACGGACTTCCTGAGGCTTTTTCGTCGCTGGCAACCACCAATATCTCTGCAACTATCGTCTCCCAACGGCCACAATCGCGACCCAATTGCGCTACCACTGTTTACCGTTTCCTTCGGCTGCCTTTTTGCAACTTCGGCAGCCGCTTCAACTGCCGTTTGAAGAAGGTTGTGCCCTGCGTCAGTCTCCATCTCCACCTAGCTAAAGTAGGGCTCGGCAGGAACCGTTCTGCCACCGCACACAACGTTCGTGGGGAAAATTCTTCCATCCTTTCGCAACAACAACTAAGCGTATGCCCGGCTAGCTCAATCGGTAGAGCGTGAGACTCTTAAGGTCTCTGTGATTTGACATCTTAAGGTTGTGGGTTCGACCCCCACGTCGGGCTCAATTCCCGGCGATTGCCATCTTTTTGCCCCTTTTCTCTCTCACCTAGCAGATGTGGCGTTGTTGACGCCAGTGGCTGATGACAGTATCGCGTTTCGAAGCTGCACACCTGCATGGCATTCCGTCCTCATCTCCTCACAGTGCATCCTGCTTTCCCCAGCTCTGACAATTCTGTCCCAGCCCCGATGAAGAACGAGGAGCTGTCCAGTCTTCGTACAGCTCAACGGAGCGCCACGGTCTGACCGCATCCAGAAATCGAGACGACATGGTGCACCAAGATCAGCTTGAACTTTCAAGATCAGTGACCTTAATGGCTCCAAGTCTCAAGTCCTTGGTCGAAGCTCCGAGAGAAGTCTCCGGGGTCCTCCTACCACATTCCCCAGCGATGCCAAACATTGAAATCGAGACGGTCGTGATTGACGTTCAAGGAAGTCCTTCAACCAACCAGTGGGAGGTCAGAATCGCGTCCAATCGTTTGCATGCGATTTCTTGTCTTTGGCATTGACTTTCAGAACCGCTGACTTGGTATGTCTGGGCTGATCCTTGTTTGCATCTTCTTCAAAGTGGAGATTCGAGGAACAGGCTCCACAACGACAAGTGTGTGCGGAGCAAAACGGCCGGAATTAGACCCTCTGTTGGAGGTCCGGGCCCTCGGGTTGTGGCTCAGATCTGGTTTCGCTGCATCGGTAGCGCCAATAGTTCAGCTAATTACAGACAAGTTCTAGAGCACCAGATTGTGGATGCTCAATTGCTGGATTGGGCAACCCATGCCGGCGCCATTGGACATTTCAAAAGCAATGCCCCAGCTGAAGAAGTCGCTGCCTCTTGAGATTTGCTCCCCGGCAAGATTTCTGTCACTTTTGCTTGTTGTCTCTTGTCACTCTTTTAGGTTGCTTGTTTGCACCATTCCGCTCGTTTATATCAAAAAGAAAATCAGGGATGAGGCTGTCTACACTTTGCTTTAGCGGCCTGATTGGCGCCGCTGCCAGCAAGTGTGTTGTGAGACCATGCAGCGGCAAATGCATCCGCGCCATGAGCGATGCGGTAGAGATTGGGGAAGCATTTTGTTCCTCGTATCTTTCTCTCGAGCCGGCCACCGTCACCATCACCGACGTCTCAACAGCGACCTCAATCCAAACGAACGTCGAGACAATTCTGTCGGTTGAAACTGTCACGGTGTCGACCATCACCAGGTGAGCCTCAAATTGATGCCCAGCGCAACATCAACAGGTCATATCTTACTGAAATTTCCAGCAACGCCCCAACCGTGACGGTGTTTGAAAAGCGACAGGAGGCATCGGCCAGTGTCGACCCAACGGAACACATCCTGTCCCAGTGCTCGTCCGACTCCTCACGCTTGAGCAGCGCCTGCAGCTGCCTCCTGACAGCCACCTCCACGCTGACTGTCTACGAGAGCTCCACGACCACCGAAGTCTCTCAGACCACCATCGTCTCAGCTCTCACCAGCACCACCGAGGTCACGGCCGTAGCAGAAGCAACACCCACCGCGACCGTCACCCAGCCCATCATTAACGGAGACTTCGAACGGTACCTCCAGTCCGGCACGATCTTGCCCTGGGTCTCGGCCGGTTTCCCCACAGGCGGAAGCCTCGACGTCATATCCCCCTTGAGTGTTTGCTCATCGGATGGGTATTGCCCTGGCGGTTCGGTCATCATTCGGGCGTACCCTCCGAAGGTAGCGAACTCGTATTTCGCCATTAGCCAGCCGAGCTTCACCGCGAAGGCGTCGGCGACCTATGATATTTCGGTTTTGGTCCGGTGTCTTAACTACGATACCACCTCGGGCGTGGAGGTTTGGTACAAGGGGGTCAAGGCTGGGTATTACAACTGTCCTAATGGCAACTTCAACAAGCGCACGGGAATTCAGATCACGACGGATGAGACGGGTGTGGGAGAGTTGGAGATGCGGTTTGTGAATGGGGGCGGTCTTCCGTATCTCTACTACTACGCTGACGACTTCCGGGCGACAGTTGTTGGTTAAGACTTGAGAGTCGCGGTGGCGGACGGATCTCCGAGGGGTTGGATGTCGACATGGGCTTTGTTTGTATCGTCTGATGGAATACACTTTCGGCATCTACTCCCACAATGCATCACGGCTTGCAACGTCTCTCGTCGCGCTTACTCCTATTAGCCGCTGAGATTTGTTGTTTCCTAGGGCCGCGCGCATCGACGGTTGGGCCTACGTCACTCACCAATCTGCGGTAGGTATGGTTCATTTGAAGAACAGGAGGCATTCCCCCGCACCTCGGCTGCCGGAGAAGAAAGAAAATTGCTACGAGGCATCTTGTTGTTCCTGGGCTGCGATTTGGAGCCTTGAATCAGCGAGTTGCAGCAGGGAGACCGCCGTGACATTGTCGTTTGGCGGGTGGGTTGCGAGGCGCGTGTCCGCCGCACAGTCCGAGATGACCCGGTGTTATATCCGGCAATCAACAAGACCCTATTCGCGCGCTTCAAACACCGTGGAGGAGTGCACTATACATCTTCGATTGGATCGGAACAACCTGTACAAGTTTTCAGGTACGGGTAGTATTCTCGGGATCGCATACAAATAGCTGCGTGTAAGTGCCCCTTTTTGCAAACGGGAATCGCAGCAGTGTGGTATCTTCCTTGCCCAAGGGGAACCGGGATCTTTCTGTGGTCAACATGGTGTGCCTATCACTATCAGTAGCGCTCCTCGCGCTCGGGGGCTCAACAGCCCTCGCGCAGACACTCCCTCCCACTCTCAAGCCAGAGCCATTCGGCCGCTTCATCAACAACACCATCTACAAGCCTGTCAAGGGCGAGAGCATCACCTACCCCCGCTTCGTCGAGCTCGAAGATGGCACCATCCTCGCCACCTCGTCGCTCTCAGGAAACTCCCCGGCGTACTTCCCCGTCTTCGAGAGCAAGGACGGCGGCGCCAGCTGGACCTGGGTCTCCAACGTCACCGACCAGGTCAACGGCTGGGGCATGCCCGCCCAACCGGCCCTGGCCGAGCTGACTGAGCCCCTGGGTGGTTTCGCCAAGGGCACCATCCTGGCCTCGGGCAACAGCTGGAGCAACAACGGCACGCGCATCGACCTGTACGCCAGCATCGACCACGCCCGCACCTGGAAGTTTGTGTCTCGTGTTGCGGAGGGCGGTCGCCCGAACACTACCAACGGCGCGACTCCCATCTGGGAACCGTACCTCCTGTACGCCCCTACCTACCCCCTCCATATCAACCCACCCCAATCCAAGGGCGTCACTAACATTGAACTCCAGCATCTACAACCACTCCCTAGTCGTCTACTACTCCGACCAACGCGATCCCCTCCACGGCCAAAAACTCAGCCACCAAACCTCCACCGACCTGCGCACCTGGTCACCCCCCGTCGACGACGTCGCCTACGACGAGTACCTCGCTCGCCCGGGCATGACCGTCGTGGTGTTCATCCCGCCCATCAACAAATGGATCCTCGTGCACGAGTTCCCCGTGGGCAACTCCTCATCGCACGGCGTCAATTACCCCGTCTACTACCGCCTGGCAGATAGCCCGTTGGAGTTTCGGTTTAGTGAAGGGCTGCCGATTGTGATTGGGGGCAGGACGGCGCCGAATGCGTCGCCTTATGTGGTGAGTACCTACCCAGCTGCAAGCTAGGGGGGTTTTCTTGCCATTTTGTCGCAATTCTGTTGTCGTAGACGGGGCTGGTTCCACGATGAAGGCATAAACATTGACGTTCACACAGACGTGGTCCCCCCTGGGCGGCCCCAACGGGACGATCATCGTGTCGGATGCGGATAATCCGCAGGTGTATACGAATCAGTTCGGTGGGGATGTTGATAAGTGGGAGGAGCATGCGACGCCGGCGGGGGCGACGTATAGTCGGGCGATTCATGTCTTGAGTAAGTATCCGGATCATTTGATGATCTTTGGGGGGGAGACGTTTGATGATATGCGGGCGGGGCTGTTGACGCCGTTTACGGCGACGGTGGTGAGCTTGACGGAGACGCTGAAGAATAACTTTGCTAGTTTTTGGAGGAGGTAGGGGGTGAGCTAGAGTAGTGCGAAAAAGGGGGTGGCAAAATGGTGATGTGATGATCTAGCGGAAATAACCATAAAATAAATACAAAATCTATCCCCGTCTAAACCCCTGAAATTCCCCTCAGAACACCCCCCTCCCACTTCTCTCTGTACCCTACGACCTGCCTCACCGGAGAATCCGGATCAGAGTCCTCCCTCTCCTCCATCACATCATCCAACACGCTCGCCATCTCCACCAACACAATCCTCGCCGAGCCTGCCTCCGTCCCATCCACCAGAATCTCCAACCCCGGAAGGGTATCAACCCGCACGCCACCCCGCCATTCCAACAACTCTAGGAAATCCCACAGCGTCGTCCACTCCGCTTCATCCTGGGCAAAGTCGAATCCATCAATAAGAGGTCGAATCCAGGGCTTTTCGTCCGTTGAATCTTCACAGCACTCCAGCGCCATCTCCCCGCTGTTTCCCCCTTGGCTCTCCAGCGCCCGCTCAACCTGCCTCTGAACAAGCCCCATGAGGTCTCTCACTGACAAGTTCAATCTCATCCGGTGGACGAGCATGTTTAACTCCCTGGGGAGCCCCCTCCTCACCGACCTCGCCACCTTTTGTACCTCCTTGTTTACCCTCTCGGTGACCGAGACAACAGACATGGCTGCGGCCGTTGCTTTCGCGACAAGCATCTTGTCGAATTCAAAATCCAACTCGGGTATACCATTACCGGGCGTGTCTTCCAACACCCTCCGCGCATCCTGCAGCACCTCGTCAAACTTCCACATTTGTACCTTCCCTGTGGGGGGATTCTCGTCCGCCTCAGCGGGACTCGGCGCTTTCTCTTCGTAGTACCCCAAACCATCGAGGATATCTTCATATGCGTCCTCTAGCTCCCTCGCCGAGTCCTCATCGAGTCCGACTTCGCGCGTGAACTCGTACAGCGCGTCGAGCACGCCGAGTTCTTCGAGGTAGGGATCGAGCTGTAT